AATGGAAGTCTTAGCCATCACAATCAAGCAAAAGAAGGCAATCCAGGGTATCCAAATAGGGTCAGAGGAGTTCAAACTCTCATTCTTCACTGATGATATGATCCTATACCTGAAAAATCTCAGGGATTCAACTTCAAAACTCTTAGAAGTGATCAAGGAATACAGCAGCATCTCAAGATACAAGATCAATACTTATGGATCACTAGCTTTTATGTATGCCATCAATAGTCAAGGTGGAATATAGTCAAGGACTCTATTCCTTTTACAGTAGTGCCAAAGAAGATGAAATATCTGGGAATTTACCTTAAAAAGGTCATGAAAGATCTTTATAAAGAGAATTATGGAACTCTGAAGATGTTAACAAATGGAAAAACATATCATGCTCATGGCTGGGAAGATCAATATTGTTAAAATGCCCATACTGGCCTGTGGAAGAAGGAGATGGCAGAAGGCCAGAGGTGAGATCCAAAACGCAGAGACAAGGACAAGAAGGGACCGAGAGGGGCAGGTGGCTGAGATGCCGGAGTCCAGGTGACCCGAGTAATCCTCCTGGAGAAAGAGGGCGTGCATGTGCATGCCGGAGTGCTGAAGCCCATTGCCCACAGGGCACGGGAACTGCGCCCAGGCTAAGTGTAGCATCCAAGGTGCAAGATGAAGAAATTACAATTGGATTGTGCCTGCGCTTCTTCTGGAAAACAAGACCAGCCTGAGCTAGAGCAAGACCTCGTCTCTAAAAAATAGCCAGTCATTGTGGCAGGTGCCTGTCATCCCAGCTACTCAGGAAGCTGAGAGAAGAGAATCGCTTGAGCCCAAGAGTTTGACATTGCTCTGAGCTAAGACACTACCGAGGGTGACAAAGCTAACTGTAGCATCCAAGGTGCAAGATGACAAAATTACAAGTGGATTGTGTCTCCACTGCTCCTGGAAAACAAGACTTGAATGCAAAGGCAACACCAAAGAAATTAGGATGAGGAACCTTGGCAAGTAGTTTAACAAGATGGTTTCAGGCCCAAGATGAAGATCCCACCCTTTGAAGTTTCTCTATACTGTGCTGCGACTGCATCATTGTATTCAATCAGTTGGAGCATGTACATGGAACTTTGATATTGCTGCCTGCCTTTGGCCAATAGAATAGCCAATAGAATAATCTACTCTTTTTTTTTTTTTTTTTGAGACAGAGCCTCAAGCTGTCTTCCTGGGTAGAGTGCCATGGCTTCACTGCTCACAGCAACCTCCAACTCCTGGGCTCAAGCGAGTCTCCTGCCTCAGCCTCCCAAGTAGCTAGGACCACAGGCACCCACCACAACGCCCAGCTATTTTTTGGTTGCAGCCATTTATTGTTGTTTGGCAGGCCGGGCTGGATTCAAACCCGCCACCTTAGGTGTATGTGGCTGGCGCCTTAGCCGCTTGAGCCACAGGCGCCGAGCCAGAATAATCTACTCTTCCAACACCTCAGTAACGTGAAAGTTCAGGAATTTGCTTGGGTGGACACTTTGATACATGTCATTGAGCTTGGATCTTCCTCACTCTGATACTGATTTGTTACAGTCTCTGGCTCCATCTATGTATGGATATGGAATGTCTGATAAAGTTAGAGAAGTCTGTTAAGAATTTTGTCTCCACATCCAAGGATTGATACTTTTATCAGATGGGACTCTTCTGTTTAAAAAAAAGGGTGGTGGTCATGGAAGAGATTGCTGGTTAATCAGCCAGTACTTGTCATTGTCTTCTTCTTCTCCCCTAATGAAAGAATTTTTGGCTGGGCACATGGCTGAATAAAAATTACATTTTTCAGGATCTCATGGAGCCTAGTATGGCCATGTGATTGGCCAGTGAGGGTGAGCAGAAATGGGGTATGCAGCTGCTAGTTCTTGCCCTCTTATTTTTTCCACTGTTTGGAATGAGGGTATGGTGGTAAACCATTGGGGACCATGTGATATGACCAATTCCTTAGGGCAGTAATCCCCAAACTTTGTTGCTCATTAGAATTACCTAGGGAGCTTTTAAAAATCCCAATATCCAGGTCACACCATGTAACAATCAAATGAGAATGTCTTGGGGTGGAAGCCCAGCATCAGTGAAATCTCCAAGTGAGTGGAACTAAAACCGGTATCCTGAGAGAAGTATCTCAAGAATGGAGAAAGAAATATCACATGTACTCATGTATAAGTGAGAGCTAGGCAGTAAGTAATACATGCTCATACAGAGTGCCATAATGTACTTCGGAGACTCAGAAGTTGGAGGTGGGAGAGGGGTGAGGGATCAAAAATTAGCTACAAAGTACACCGTGTGCTGTTTGGAAGTACGCTAAAATCTCTGACTTCACTACTGTGCAAGTCATCTGTGTATCAAAAAACTACTTGTACATCCTAAATAAAAATAAAATGAAATTTAAAAATTAAAAAATAATAATAATAAAATATAATGTCCATACTACCCAAAGTATTCTACAGATTCAATGCAATCCCTACTAAAGCAACATTATCATACTTTAAAGAGTTTGAAAAAATAGTGCTTTTTTCATTGTATATGGAATCAGAAAAAACCTCGAATAGCCAACATATTATTCAGAAATAAAAACAAATCAGGAGGTATCACCTTACCAGACTTCAGGTTATACTATAAATTTATTTATAATGATCAAAACAGCATGGTACTGGCACAAAAATAGAAAGGTAGATTTATGGAGCAGAATAGGGAACCAAGAGATGAACCTAGCTACTTATTGTCATTTGATCTTTGATAAGCCTATCAAAAACATTCAGTGAGGGAAAGACTCCCTATTTAACAAATGGTGCTGGATGAACTTGCTAGAGACCTGTAGAAGACTGAAACTGGGCTCGGCGCCTATAGCTCAACTGGCTAAGGCGCCAGCCACGTACACCTAAGGTGGCGGGTTCGAATCCCCAGCCCGGACCCGCCAAACAACAATGATGGCTGCAACCAAAAAAATAGCCGGGCGTTGTGGCGGGCGCCTGTGGTCCCAGCTACTTGGGAGGCAGAGGCAAGAGACTCGCTAGAGCCCAGGAGTTGGAGGTTGCTGTGAGCTGTAATGCCACGACACTCTACCCAGGGGGACAGCTTGAGGCTCTGTCTCAAAAAAAAAAGAAGACTGAAACTGGACTCACACATTTTGCCATTAACAAAAATTGATTCTCACCAGATAAAATATTTAAACTTAAGACATGAAACTATTTTTTAAAAAAACTTAAAGACAGTGCAGGAAAAACACTTGAAGAAATTGGCCTGGGAGAATATTTTATGAGGAGGAACCCCAGGCAATTGAAGCAACACCAAAAATCCATTAGTGGGATCTGATCAAACTAAAAAGTTTTTGCATGGCCAAGAGCACAGTAAGTAAAGCAAACAGACAACCTTCAGAACGGGAGAAGATTTTTGCATGTTATGCTTCTGACAAAGGTGTGATAACTAGAATCTAAGAGAACCAAACTAATCAATAAGAAAAGAACAAATTACCCCATTTCTATGTGGGCAAGAGACTTGAACAGAAACTTCTCTGAAGAAGACAGGTGCATGGCCTACAAACACATGATCATCTTTAATCATCAGAGAAATTCAAATCAAGACCACTTTGAGATACTATCTAACTTCAGTAAGATTAGCCCACATAACAAAATCCCAAAACTACAGATGTTGGCATGGATGTGGAGAGAAGGGAACACTTCTATGCTGGTGGTGGGAATGCAAACTAATACGACCTTTTTGGAAAGAATTTTGGAGAATACTCAAGGAAGTAAAAGTAGACCTACCATTTGATCCTGCAATTCCTCTAGTAGGTATATATACCCAGATGATCAAAAATCATTTTACAACAAAGACATTTGCACCAGAATGTTTATTGCAGCCCAGTTCATAATAGCCAAGACATGGAAACAGCCTAAGTGCCCGTCAACCCATGAATAGATTAACAAATTGTGGTATATGTACACCATAGAATACTATGCAGCCATAAAAAGCTGGAGACTTCACATCTTTTATGTTTACCTGGATGGAGCTGGAACATATTCTTCTTAGTAAAGATCTCAAGAATGGGGGGGAAAGTATTCAATGTACTCAATACAACTATGAAATCAATATATAATCACCTACACATTCATATGAATGGTAAAACATAACTAGGGTCCAGAAAGTAGAAGGGAAGAAGAGAGAGGGGGGAGGGGAGGGAGGAGAAGGGAAGGTATTTGGGGGGGACCTCACCTAATGTGCATGATGCAATGGGACATTTCAAAACTATTAAGAAGAGTATAGGCTCAGGGCCTAGCACAGTGGTTATGGGGCCAGCCACGTACACCAAGGCTGGCGTGTTCGAACCCAGCCTGGGCCTGCTAAACAACAATGACAACTGCAACAACAAAAAAATAGCCAGGCGTTGTAGTGGGTGCCTGCAGTCCCAGCTACTTGGGAGGCTGAAACAAGAGAATCAACTTAAGCCCAAGAGTTAGAGATTGCTGTGAGCTGTGATGCCATAGCACTTTACTGAGGGTGACATAGTGAAACTCTGTCTAAAGAAAACAAAAAAAAAAAAGAAAGAAAAGAGTATAATTGTGATAGATGTGTTAATCATTGCAATGTAAGCATTTCAGTACACCAAACCCATACATCTATCAATGTACACAGTTATGATTTGATAAAAACAAAAAAATTAAAAATTAAAAAAAATTAAAATCAGAGAGATTGGAAGAGGCAAATTTTTGAGAACATAGTATCTATTTCTCTAAGTCCTACTAGAGAAATAAATTTATTATTGAAATATAACATATAGAGTAGGGCATAAAATGTTAAGTATCAGCTTGAGAAATTTCTCAAATGTATTTGCAAGACTAATTCTTTACAACTTCTATTCATGTGTACCGTTAATTTTCCTTGATGCTGAGAAGTTGGCAGCTACTGACAAGTTATAAGTTACATATTCAGAACCGAAAGCAAAACTGCTGCTGTGAACCCAGCACTGTCCCTGGCAAAGCTGGCGGTGCCCCTACCTGAGGCTGTAGAGCACCTTCCCGTCCGGCTGCACCCGCAGCATGACGTTGTCAGTGGTGGTGTCGTGGATGAAGGAGCGCTTGGAGTGTACGAAGAACATGTCAGGGACCCAGATCTTCTTCACCAGCCGGCCATCAAATGTCATGCTGAGGTTGTTGGTGCTGGGGAAGGCCAGCCTCTCGTCCTTCCAGTAGTGCCTCAAGTACAGGGTCATTGTAAAGTCCTGCAGGTGGTGGGGCAAAGAAGGAACCCCAGACACACAAACCCACGGTGTGGGCAGGGGGTTCCACACCCCAGGGAGCATCGCCTGTCTGGGGAATGACACTGAGCCCAGAGCTGCAGGGGAGGAGCTCAGCAAGCACAGGTGTCTGAGCCCACCTTACACTAGGGGCTGCTCAGAGGGCTCCAGCCCCAGAGTGAAGGCCTGAGGACAGCACTCTGCCATCGGGTGGAGGTGGATAAATACCCCAACTCCCTTGCTCCAGAATTGGGATAACCCAGAGATGTGTTCTTTGCTGACTCCTGGAGGACACAACTTCTCTGCTTCCCTGTCTCACTTCCCACTCTGCTCCCATGTTTCCCAAACAAACTACTTATGCTAGAGTGCTCATCTCAGGTGTGCCTCTAAGGATAAGGCCCAAAAAAGTCTTATATGCCAATGAGTTGTAAAATGTTCCATATTTTTTGGCTCGGCGCCTGTGGCTCAGGCGGCTAGGGTGCCAGCCACGTGCACCTAGGGTGGCGGGTTCGAATCCCCAGCCCCGGGCCCGCCAAACAACAATGAGGGAAAAAAAAAAAAAATGGCCGGGCATGGTGGCGGGCACCTCAGCCTTCCAGCTACTTGGGAGGCTGAGGCAAGAAAATCGCTTAAGCCCAAGAGTTTGAGGTTGCTATGAGTTGTGACGTCATAGCACTCTACTGAGGGCGACATAATGAGACTGTCTCAAAAAATAATGATTATCATCATCATCAAACTTCTAAATCTTTGTGGTGGCTTCTCCCTAAATACAGTTTGCTATGCAAGAAAACAAGGGCTTCTCACAATCATACAACCATTCTCATCTTGGGGGTATTTATATATGTATGTGCCTATGTATGCATATGTATCAGAATTTTCCTCATGATCATAGCAAATTAGTTTCTTTTCTAATTTTAAATTATTCTACCTTTAAAGTAACTTATTAGGCCAGAAGTCCCTTTTGCTCTTCTGGAGACTGAGTCTCACTCTATTGCCCAAGCTAGAGTGCCATGGCATCAGGCTAGCTCATAGCAACTTCAAAGTCCTGAGTTCAAGTGATGCTCCTGCCTGAGCCTCCCAGACGCAATGGCACTCTACCATGGGAGATAAGTGAAACTCTGTCTCTACAAATAAGAAAAAAAGTAAACATAATTTTAAAAAATTTGTGCTATAAGCCAGGTGCAGTGGTGCATTACTGCACCACAGTGGTGCTGTGGTGCATTACTGCACCAGTAATCCTAGCACTCTGGGAGGCTGAGGCAGGAGGACTGCTTGAGCTCAGGAGTTTGAGACCAGCCAGAATAAGAGCAAGACCCTGTTTCTACTAAAAACAGAAAAAAAAAACAAATTGTCAGGTACTGTGACAGATTCTAGTAGTCCTAGCTACTCAAGAGGCTGAGGCAGGAGGATCACTTTAATCCAGGAATTTGACATTGCAATGAGCTAGGCTGATGCCATGGCACTCTAGCCTGGGCAACAGAGTGAGGCTCTGTCTCTAAAAGAAAAACCACATGGGCAGCACCTGTGGCTCCATGAGTAGGGCGCTGGCCCCCTATACCCACAGTAGCGGGTTTCAACCTGGCCTCAGTGAAACTGCAACAAAAAAATAGCCAGGTATTGTGGCAGGCACCTATGGTCCCAGCTACTCGGGAGGCTGAGGCAAGAGAATTGCCTAAGCCCAAGAGCTGGAGGTTGCTGTGA